TCAAGATTGAAACACCATGCTGCTTTCGTTTCCACACCGTGCAGCTTTTGAGCAGGCTTCGGATAGGCACATTAGTAGCCAGTCACCGTCTAGTGTTCTGAGGCTACTCGACTCACAGACTCACTGACCATTTAACAATGCATCCACCCCATGATCATTTGGATGAATCGTCACCGTTTAGGGCTTAAACTTAATAAAACTCTATTTCTCTCCGTCTTGTTTTTTATTGTCTCGTTTGTATTTCTTATATATATGTTTGTTCTGTTTAATCTGTACAGTTTCCTTTTTTGCTCGATAAACTGAAACATAATACTGGCTTATCGTTTTGCATTAATACATAATCGATTTTCACAAGCACACTCATATGCGTGTATTCATTATCATAAGAAACAATGTTAACTTATGGCTCGACGCCATGGTACATGCCCAAAGCGTGCATCCTGCACCTTTCTCTAACAGCCACCATTGCTTAGCCTCTTCATGTGCTGTATGAGGCAACCGTGCATCATCGAAATTACAAGGGGGCACAAGTGAGGTTACATAATTCATAATCAATATTTTTGGGTGTGTTGGAGAGCAAATCAACAACATTTACTCTCCAACACACCGTTGGGCTGAAGTAGTAACTCATTGACGCGTTGTTTACGCGACAAACCTTACCGGCTGTTGGGTGGTGGAGGGTTGCAACACATTGATACTAACCGCAATCGAACTCAAAAACCTTTATTATGAATATTAGTCGGGAAAGCCTACGTGTTGAACGGAGGGTTACATCACTCCCAGGAAAAACTTGTCATAACCCAAGATACCCCCCACCCCGTACCCCTCCCCCATACAAGGACACTCTACCCCAATGACTCATCAACTGTCAGTAGCAGGAAATAATGAGGTCATCCAATTCACAACAGGGGGTTTCGTTTACAAGTCTTCCACATTACATGTGTTGCAATCTCACAAATACAGTATGCATTGGGCCTGTATCAATTCTATCCCCATCATGGTTCCAGGTTGTAATTCTATTCAAAAACATATTTCATTGTAAACATTTATATTGTAATATAGCACCTCTTGTCCGTCTGCAGGGGTCACGTGAACTGGTTACATGTGACGTATTGGTGACAAAGAAGTGACGCTTACATGCACAAATTGATGCATGCATCACGAATAGAAGGGTTGATTTTAAACCGGTGAATCGACACGCACCGGTTCTTTGTGTACAGTTCAAAGCCCCAGAGAAAGGCATGCAATATACATAACAAATGTAAAGCTTATCTATATATGTATAAAAGTCAAAAATTGTGTGTGGGTTTGTGTGTGGTCGAGCGCTTGGCTCTCCAACGGTGGGGTTCACGAAAAAAAAAACCATAGCCAGGTACCACGCCGTGAGCCCCGCCGTGAGCAAGCGCTATTCCTTTTTCCCATCTGTCAACTTTAAATTACTTTAATTAGCGATTTTTGTGCAGTTTGCGTTTATTTATTAATTAAATGGCGCGTGATCGACCGCACCAAGTCACACGCGTTCGGTGGTGGGTGGGGAACGGCTTTTACCAAGTCGGTCGGAGTAAGGAGGACATTTTCACAAAACACTGACGTTGATTCTTCTAAATGTCATGTACCCCCCCAACACCCCAATGCGTGCAGTTACTGCTATAGAGTCCCTACATATTACTATTATATAGCGCTTCAATAGTCATTGTCGTGCGGGTGGGGGGGGGCCCAGGCCACAGCCTGCCAGGGAGCCACCTCGGCCGGCTGCACAATCTAGGCGAGGCCGCGGATTCTGCACGGGACTAGGCCTCACCTCGGTACTGTTAAGTACAATTTTATTGCTTCTTTCGCTAACCTCACGTACATAGAAACATGATATTAAAACAATTGGTTTGGTAATATAATAATAATTTTGTTTGTGTGCAGACTACTTTTTCATTGCTTCTTTTGCTAACCTCACGTAGATAGAAACCTATTATTTAATTAATCACCTTGCAAATAATAAATGTATTTTTTGTGCGTGCAAATATGATTTCATTGTATTTCTTCCTTTGCTAAACGCACGTACATAAAAACCTATCATTTACATAACCTTAGAAATATTAACATAATATTGTTTGTGTGCACAAAAATATTATTTCATTTTCTTCTTTCACTAAACTTACGTACATTCAAACCTATTTTTTTCATAATCGTGAGAATTTTAATTGTTTTATATATTTTATTATTTTATTGTTTCCCTTCAACGTGACTTTACCGAAAGAGCTAAGAATATATATTTATACGAATAATTGTGTGTGTGCAGACAACTCATTTTTCACAATTGACTTGCTTTTTTTAATGTGTGTGCCTATGTCCTTGTGTCCATGTGAGTCCATCTGCGTGTCAGCGACGGTCGCTTTGTGTGTATGCGCGAGTCGATGCGTCTGTGTGTGCGTCGATGTTTGTGTGTCGATGTGTATGTGTAAGTCCAAGTGTGTGCGTAAGTCCATGTGTGTGTGCGAGTCAATGTGTGTGTCAGTCGATGTGTCTGTCAGTCGATGTGTGTGTGTGAGTTCATGTGTGTGAGTGTCAGAGTCGATGTGTTTGTGTTTGCGAGTCCATGTGTGCGTGTAAGTCGATGTTTATGTGTTTGTAAGTCGATGTGTGTGTGTGAGTCCATGTGTCTTTGTTTGTAGGGCATTGTGTGTGTCAGTCTGTGTATATGTGTGTGAGTCTGTGTGTGTGTAAGTCGATGTGTGTGTGTCTTAGTCGATATGTGTGTTTAGGTCGATGTGTGTGGTTGTCTATGTATGTGTGTGTGTGAGAGAGTCGCTGTATGCGTATACGTCGATATGTGTGTGTGTAACTCCATGTGTGTGTTGCTAAAGTCGATTTCTGTGTGTGTGAGTCCATGTGTGTGTTAGTCGCTGTGTTTGTGTGTGTGTGGGTCCATGTCTGTAAGTGTGTGTAAGTCGATGTGTGTGTCTGTCTTTTTGACCCGGGCAACGCCGGGTACTTCCCGCTAGTACATAATAAAAAGAGAGGATCATGGCATGTAGGAAAATACATTGTTTGTGCACCATCAAAATGTCGACTTGAGGGACGCATTCACAGTTCTCATAACCCTGCATACAAACACAGTGGCCTACATTCCCCACGTTCACTGTGCTGTCTGCTCATAAAGCGATGCCACTGCTCCGACACGTACGTGGTGTTGCGTTGCCTTTTTTTTTGCTTTCGGTGACATAAATAATTTTAAACGCTCCACCACTGCAGCTTTTAAAACAAAAACATCTCATCCCACAGGGGCCAATTATTTTCCCCCACTTCAAAAAAGCCACCACCACCTAATCCATTTTTGGGAAAGTGAACTCAATTTTAGCCCCGTTTTTACCATGCAGCCTTTACAACGCAATGCCCGCTATATAGCGCATACATAAATGATGCAGGGAAATTCTTTTAAATGTTTAAACGTGGCGCTGTCTCTGCCCGTCACGTATTTGTAAAGTGTGACAGCGGCAGGCGGTGGCGACCTGGAAATGTGCCCTGACATCAGAAACTCATTTTCCGAATCCTGGCGACTGCTGCCTTTGCAGAGTTCTTTAGTCGCCGTCCTGTCACCTTATTAATATTTCACACCACAACCACTAATAATATATTATTAGTATGACATCGTGATTAGAGGCCCAGAGGTTTGCGCATTGCGCAATGAGGTCAGCATGCCGAGTTCGAATCTCAGCCACAGCTAACGTGAGCGGCGAGTAGTATCTCAGACGGACCTGGGTACACCCCTTCACCCACCTACATTAACCAGTGTGGCAGAGTAACAACCCCGACAACCGGTGGTGTGGGAAGGCATTCATTCAGCACTGGATTTGACAAAGGGCTGTGAATTTAATATCTCATGATAATTTAGCACTTCTTTTCCCAAACAATGTCTCAAGCCCTCTTGTTCACCGTGGGTCCTTCCCGAAATGTTCAGCCAATCCCCTTTATTCGGCTCTTCTTTTTGTGCATGTGGGAAGAACGCGTGAAATGTCTGGTGAGAAAGCAGCCCACAAAGAGACCATCAACGTAGCTGTGGCATTTTGGATAATGCCCCTTCTTTTATGTGCTATAAAGAAGGGCCATTGCCAGAAACGTCACCTTTGATATATTTGGTTTTTCTTTTAAGGCCACGGTGTTATTGACAGACGAAATTATTTGTTTTTTTTTAATTGCGCTTGTGCACCGCTGCCAACGTAGCAGCAGCAGCATTACCGAATAATTTGTGTAGTTCCGGTGCTGCCTCCTACAGGCACCACAACCGCTGTCCCCGTAGCTGAATGTGACATATGTCATCTCAGCACCACACCCAGTGAAGAACAAGGTAATTAATAAAAATACGATTTAGCTCGTCAAAAATGCAATATCCTCAGAGTTTTTGCATCGAGTTTTCCATTACCCGTGAAAGCACCATCGATGGTAGGACAACACTTTCCACGATTCTCTTGCCAAATATGTGTGCACGTGAAAAACATACATCTGCACAGCACAAAGACTGCCGTGTAGAGATGTTCTGTTTGTCAACACCTAGAGGAGGACAGTGCAAGAGGCGGTGACGTGGACAGCACCACGCTGGGCCGACTTCGTCTCCCCAGGGCTGATGCTTAAGACACCGCACCAGGTAGTCGTTCAAGGCTGAGTGGACCTAGGAGAGGCCCAGGACTGGTTCAGATACAATTCTCCACTGTTAGCCATGGTTGGGAACCGAACTCAAGCCACTGAGCGTGCAGCACGGTGCACAAACCCACTGTACAGTCCCTCCCACATCTATACAAACACACAGACGCAAGCGCGCAGAGCTTTGTTTCCTAGTAACCGGCACAGAAAAACCAATTGGGAGTGCCGATGCAATTCACACCAAGCACCACATGAAGATGAGAACAGGGTCCCCCTGGTGTGCAGTGCAATTCCATTTATCCAGTTAATGACCTTTCCGCTGCCTCTGCACATTTGTGCGGCATCGCTTCATAAACGCGCGCACTCACCTCGCCGACGAGCGTGTTCTCCGAGGGGTTGAGCAGCACGGACGTCTCTAGGACATCGCTCCGATGCTGCAGCGTCTTCTCACCTGTGAAGGGGCGCAAGACGGGAGAGGCGGGCGGAGGGGGAGGAGAGCAGACGGGGCTGTTACCACTCGCCCGCGCCTAACGGTACCCGGGCCGCCCCCGAGCCGGGCTGGCGGAACGCGCGGCAGACGGACGGGTGGGGGAGTGACGTCAGCAACCGTCCGTCTAGATTTGCATGCCGACAGAGCAGCCGGCACATCAGCCATGGCATCAGCCTAATGAGGATAAAGCGCCGGCTCACAGCCTCGCACCCAAACAAAAGCTGGAAGTCGGTTACCAGCGCAGCTGCATCGCTTGCCCGGCTGAATGGCTCTGAAAGACCGCTTGGCTGCCTGTCTGCACGGTTAACCAACTGTGTGGCCGATTGTCTGCTTGTTCAATGCACTGGTTGTCTGCCTGTTGCTCTATTAGGTTGGCTGTCTGCCTGGATAGTTAAAGTCATTTGTATCACCGGCTAATATGGCTTTTTGAACGTATGTTCATCTCTATCTCTTATTCCGTCGATCTGTCTGGGGACACCATCCCATTTAACGGCTGTCTAGACTATACCCACCTCTCTAGGGCAATATTAGGCAGCGGTGCTGCTCTGCCTCACCAGACGGAGCCGGCTCTCTCGCCAGCAGGAGACAGACTGAATCCCAGCGTGGCCTGGGCACGCGCGATCACAGCCCGATTGGACGGTTCTTCGCAGGCGTCTGCCGACAGTGGGGGTAGGGAAGGTCGCTCTTAGTCCCCCCCCCCCGTCCTTCACTCCAGCCCCATCTCCCCACACAATCCCTGTTAAATCTCCACTGCCCACCCCCCCACCACGCCCCCTCTCAGCCACCAGTGCCACCTCCCCTCTGCTTTCTTGGAGGCATGGGCACTTCACACCCCCCCACCACACTCCCTCATGCAGGATCAGGTGTCAGACCCCAGCCGACGGGTGGGCCCGCATCAGCTCCAGCTCATTAGGCCAACGCGGCCAAAACCGCTCCCTCGCAGTCGCCGCAACCGCGGCGTTATTATGAGACAATGGAGGAAGATATGACGGGGCTATACGAGGGGAGTTATTACGAGACAAAGTGTATTGGACAGCAACGATTCTTTTTTTATGTCTTTTTCGGCCTATGTTATCGCGATTGTGTTATCAGCGTCAAGTCATTACTCATTCGGATCTTCCGCCATTAGAAGTGGTTACTGCAGAGGTATATCTAAAATAATTTGACCTCAGGTTCACACAGGTCTATTACCACCCACTCTGCCAAGAGAGTTACATTCGTCGCACGGCAGTAAATGTTTTTAATTCTCAAGAGGTGTAATAACCAAGATTAATGCAATGGTTTTTGTGAGTGACATAATTATTGATTGCTGCATAGGTCATCAACTCACGACATTGGAGATATCAAGTTTAATCAAGAGGCGACTGCCTGGATTCAAACCCAAGACCTCAGCTCATCACCGTGACCCTCTGAGGTTACCCGGTCACCTCACAATCACAATTCACTTCTCAAAGGAAAGTCAATAATGAAAATGTGCTCTTTTTTGCGCTGCTACTGTATTTTAATATTACAGAAACATGTTTCTATAGTTGTTATTGCGTGTGAGAGTGAATGCCAGCGTTGTCAAGACCTCACTGTCATTATTATTGGGTTTTTGTTCCCCCACATGTAAATATAGCATATGCAACAGAGTCTAATTGAAGGCATGCATTGCATTAATTGCAATTAAAATAACATGTCGGGACGACGTCTATCCATGGTGAAGTCATTACTTGATATGCTACGTAGCTATTATAGACCTAGGGAAGCATCACTGATCCTTACGACCGTTTTCGGAGGCTTCTGCATTGAAATGTTTAGCCAATTATCATTCGCGAGTGTTTGTGGGAGTACCTGGAAAGAGAAAACCCACGTGGTATATGACGCAGCTACTGTCAGAGCTCCGCACAGACAGAATGACGAACCCTTTACTGCTCCTTACCAACTCGCAGCCCAAGCACACCCCCCCCCTCCATAGTATTCCCAGGCATTCTCCCATCTGATTACAAGGAAGGCTCAACCCTGGCCAATTGCTTTTGTGTGTTCTTGCACGGGGGTGAAAAGACGTAATGCATGGAGAAAGTCCATACAATAGAGGTTTTTATGGGTTAGATCGCCTAAATATAAGAAAGTGTCGTTAAAACCCACCACCATCTGACACATTACATGACAACTCTTACTAGTTGGCTGTGTCGGGTGGTGGCGAGTTTTAACGACACTTTTATATATTTACGTGATCTAACCCAAAAAACCCTCTATTATATACGCACAGATAACCTGCGCAAATCCTAATTCCTGTGCTGCCGCCCGATGGAACCCTCATGGCCTTTACCAAAAGGGTATCTCCTGCACAAAATGGGCCCATCTATGTGTGATCCGTCACACTCCTATGAGCACCTCCGATTAGCACGGTTGCCGGCATATGGTGCAAAAGAGGTTCACATCACTATATTACAGGCTAGCCCCATTGCACTCGGCAGACAATAGAACACCTCTCGAAGCCAGACTCGACTAAGACTTGGATTTTAGTACTACCTTTAAGCCTGCTTCTCATAGTTGGTGACCAGCGCATGAAGAACCTGAATTTGGGGTCAGCCAAACGAGGCAACCATTCGTTAAATATAATAAACGGAAAGCCCAAGAACTGAAACGGGAACACTGTTTGGGCGCCAATTAAGCCACGCTCGGCAGAATACGGCATTCCACAGTGAATAGGTATGCATTAGATTGTCATGTGGCCGTCTGCCGATGACGTTATGCTCTCATCTTTTGGATGTTCTTCTTATAAACCAACCAGCTTTACTACCCGGCTTTGCCCGGGACTTGGATTCACTACGCCCGGCCGCCTTTGTCTCCCCAGTGGCGATGTTCACACACCAAATAATCGTCACCGGTGGTGGCCGTGAGCAGAAATAAAACTCGGGTCGCCGGGTTCGTAGCGCAGCGCGCTAACCACTACACTACCGCTCCCCACACACACACACATGCGCGCGCGCGTCCATAGGTACACATACACGCGCTTGCTGCAGATAACTTGCAGGGTGCGTACGGCAGTAAACGACTGAAATAATAAAGCAATGCTGCGCGAAGAACGCCTTAGACCTGCAACACATTTGTATTTCACTTAAACCCACAGAGGGTTGGGGGGGGGTACGTGACTTGAGCAGGCACACTGTGTTACAGATGTGACGTCCAATTTCACTTGCCGTGCAAAATAGATGCATTATTGCGCCCCTCCTCCCCCCCCCCAAAAAAAATATACAAAAGTGTATTTTTATAATTTTTGCATGGTGTACAGTCTGGAAAGTACCCACATGGCAAATTTCAAGTTTGTTGCATGTCGGGAAATACACTAAACATTTTGAACAGACACACATTCACAAATTTTCCTTTTATATATATAAAAACTAATTATGAAATCGATATTGAAGAGATTCCACCGTTTGCTAGACATTTAACTCAAAACTCTCGATTGCACGCCAGGCACTTAATATGACTCTGCTGCCTGACCCGGCGATACCGCAGTTGTATTGCTAATTTTATATAGCAGCAATGCGAGGAGACAGGAAAAATAATGCTTGCATATGACTAATTTAACTAATGAAGAATAAACCCAGCTCTTCAGAAAAATAGCAATGTTGCACTTCAGTGAATTTAAAAGCAGATGAAATACAATTATTCAGCTGCAATTGCTCAAGAAAAGGTTTAATTTCCTATGTAGGCAACAGTATAATCTAGTAGACCAGTGCATATTTGCAATTAAATACAGTAAGACAAATACTGTGTTTAGATGTGTAATAAGTAGTATAGAATTATCAAATCTAGTATCATACACTGCACAGTATACATACAGTGAGGGAAAAAAGTATTTGATCGCCTGCTGATTTTGTACGTGTGCCCACTGACAAAGAAATGATCAGTATATAATTTTAATGGTAGGTGTATTTGAACAGTGAGACAGAATAACAACAACAAAAAATCCAGAAAAACGCATGTCAAAAATGTTATAAATTGATTTGCATTTTAATGAGGGAAATAAGTATTTGACCCCTCTGCAAAACATGACTTAGTACTTGGTTGCAAAACCCTTGTTGGCAATCACAGAGGTCAGACGTTTCTTGTAGTTGGCCACCAGGTTTGCACACATCTCAGGAGGGATTTTGTCCCACTCCTCTTTGCAGATCTTCTCCAAGTCATTAAGGTTTCGAGGCTGACGTTTGGCAACTCGAACCTTCAGCTCCCTCCACAGATTTTCTATGGGATTAAGGTCTGGAGACTGGCTAGGCCACTCCAGGACCTTAATATGCTTATTCTTGAGCCACTCCTTTGTTGCCTTGGCCGTGTGTTTTTGGTCATTGTCATGCTGGAATACCCATCCACGACCCATTTTCAATGCCCTGGCTGAGGGAAGGAGGTTCTCATCCAAGAGTTGACAGTACATGGCCCCGTCCATCGTCCCTTTGATGCGGTGAAGTTGTCCTGTCCCCTTAGCAGAAAAACACCCCCAAAGCATAATGTTTCCACCTCCATGTTTGACGGTGGGGATGGTGCTCTTGGGGTCATAGGCAGCATTCCTCCCCCTCCAAACACAGCGAGTTGAGTTGATGCCAAAGAGCTCCATTTTGGTCTCATCTGACCAAAACACTTTCACCCAGTTGTCCTCTGAATCATTCAGATGTTCATTGGCAAACTTCAGACGGGCATGTATATGTGCTTTCTTGAGCAGGGGGACCTTGCGGGCGCTGCAGGATTTCAGTCCTTCACGGTGTAGTGTGTTACCAATTGTTTTCTTGGTGACTATGGTCCCAGCTGCCTTGAGATCATTGACAAGATCCTCCCGTGTAGTTCTGGGCTGATTCCTCACCACTCTCATGACCATTGCAACTCCACGAGGTGAGATCTTGCATGGAGCCCCAGGCCGAGGGAGATTGACAGTTCTTTTGTGTTTCTTCCATTTGTGAATAATCGGACCAACTGTTGTC